ACCATTATTCCCAGTGGACCAAATGAAATGACTGGTCAACCGGTCGCTATGACACACACTCACCACAGGAGACAAAAGCTAAACATAGGAGCTGCCCCTGGGGTTCAGTACGCTCCCACACCCAACCTCCTGTGGCTAGACAACCTCCCATGGTCCCTCCCCCTGGACTAGGTGAGATGGCCCTCTTTGGCCCTGATTTTCGGCCAGGCCAAAGGATCCCAACCATGCACGAATTCATGCACCAGGCCTCTAATTTTATATATATATATATATATACACACACACACACACACACACACACACACATTTAAGTCCTGGCTGGTTTGGATCAGTGGATAGAGCATCAGCCTGTGGACTGAAGGGTCCTGCTTTCAATTCTGGTTGGGGGCACATGCCTGGATTGCAGGCTTGATACCCAGTAGGAGGTATGCAGGGGGAGCCAATCCGTGACTCTCTGTCATCATTGATGTTTCTATCTCTCTCCCTCTCCCTTACTCTCTGAAATCAATAAAAAAATATTTTTAAAAAGTTATATACATATAGGCATAGCCCATGGACACAGACAATAATGTGGTGAGGTCCTACAAGCAATGGGGGCAGGATAGAGGAAGGCAAAGGGGGAATGGGCAGAGGGAACATGGTGTACATCTGTAATTGATTCAAAAATTAAAAACAATACTGCACCCAGCAGGTGTGGCTCAATGAATGGGTTTGGACCCATGAAGTAAGAGATCACTAGTTCCATTCCTTATAGGGCACATGCCCAGTTTGGGGGATGGATCCCAGTAGGGGGGCATGTAGGGGGGCATGTAGGAGGCAGCTGATCAATGATTCTCATCTTTGATGTTTCTCCCTCTCCCTCTCTAAGAAACCATTAAAAACATTTCATTTTAAAAGGAATAGTGTTAAGATTGAATTGACTCACCCTAGCTAGTTTGGCTCAGTGGATAGAGCACCAGCCTGTGGACCAAAGGGTCCTGAGTTTGATTCTGGTCAAAGGCACGTATGTGGGTTGCAGGCTAGATCCCAGGCCCTGGTTAGCGTGACTGTGGGAGTCAATCAGTTAATGTGTCTCTCTCACATGGATTTTTTTAAAGTATATTTTTTATTGATTTCAGAGAGGAAGGGTGAGGGAGATAGAAACATCCTTGATTAGAGAAAATCATTAAATCGGATCCCTCCCTCACACACCCTACTGGGAATGGAGCCCACAACCAGGGCATGTACCCTCCACAGGAATTGAACCCGGGACCCTTCAGTCCGCAGGCTAATGCTCTATCCACTGAGCCAACCCAGTTAAGGCTCATGGATGTTTTAAAAAAGAAAAAGAAAAAAAGATTGAATTGACTCAAAAACACCAAAGTGAGTGTGGGCCATCACGTTTTCTCCCAAACCATGTAAGCAAAACCATGCCTTGGTCTGTCTTTATAGAAGATGTCCCAGGCATAACCGTGAGAACAGGAAACAACCTAGAGGCGGTAGGCCTCAGGTTGCCCTGTAGTGTTTGATTTTTTACTTCATGCAGAAAAAATTTCACAGCATGAGTTCAGAAGATTTTGAGAATACGTTTATTGAAGCTGGGGATAGTGAAAACAGGTAGGTATCAGAATAGAACAAGCAACAGCAGAGCAGGGCTCCTATGGCTCTAGGAACATTGTGGGAAATAAGGGAGCCAAAGTGGGGCTGCGGTTAGCTCACTGGACAATCAGAGAAAAGGTGGCCTTCAGTGCAGGTTCATGGGCTCAGCCTGGGATGAGCTGCTGCTGCTCATTGCTGCTCTGGTTGCAGGTCGGGTGGGGACCCTTAAAAGTTTAGGTGACCCAGCTGGCGTGGCTCAGTGGTTGAGCACTGACCTATGAACCAGGAGGTCATGGTTTAATTCCCTTTCAGGGCACATGCCTAGTTTGCACATTCAATTCCCAGTGGGGTAGGGGGACATGGAAGATGTAGTTAATCAGTGATTCTCTTTCATCATCAATGTTTCTATCTCTTCCTCTCCTTTCCCCTCTGAAGTCAATAAAAATATTTTTTAAATAAAATAAAGTATTTTCCAAATATACAGCTTTACTTTGTTCATTTTTCTTATAGATTGCACAATAGTTAATGTTCTATCAAATTGTTTGGTTTTTTTTTAGGCAGTTGACTGGTGGAGTTCAGGTGTTCTAATGTATGAACTATCCACAGTCGATGGGGAGAAGAATTCCTGACATGAGCTCTCTAGGTGAGTCTTCACTAAATAAAATGAATGTGTTGTTACCTAGAAGGAATGAATCAAATTTCTGTAATTAGGCTGATGGGGAAAAAAATTTAGAAATGTAGACAATAGTAGAATTAAGTGGTTAATTTTTAAAAAATATATTTCATTGTTTTTTTACAGAGAGGAAGGAAGAGGGATAGAGAGCCAGAAACATCAATCAGCTGCCTCCTGCACATCCCCTATTGGGGATGTGCCCGCAACCAAGGTACATACCCTTGAGTGGAATCGAACCTGGGACTGTTGAGTCTGCAGGCCAATGCTCTATCCACTGAGCAAAACTGGCCAGGGCTAAGTGGTTACTTTTCATTTATAATCATATAGGAACTGTGTGTTGAACAAAAGCTCATCCAAATAGCCATTTATTTCCAGGACCCATATCAGTGGAGCGACTGTGGAACTGAGAGGCCTAGACTCAGCTCTCAAACCCAGTACAGACTCTTAGCCGCACCCCTTCCTTGTTAAGGAAATGGGCTCAGCCAAGTCCCATACCTGTCAGCAGGTGCACTCCTCCCACCAGGCGAGACTATACTATCAGACACTGTCACACCACCTGTACAAGATTGGGGCAGGTTTTTTAAAAAATATATATATATATATATTTTATTGATTTTCCACAGAGAGGAAGGGAGAGAGATAGAGAGTTAGAAACATCGATGAGAGAGAAACATCGATCAGCTGCCTCCTGCACATCCCCTACTGGGGATGTGCCTGCAACCCAGGTACATGCCTTTGACCGGAATCGAACCTGGGACCTTTCAGTCCGCAGGCTGATGCTCTATCCACTGAGCCAAACTGGTTTCGGCAAGGGCAGTTTTTGGTTTATGTTGTGTTCTTCTCTAATTTTCTGCTCCTGGGTTGGTGATTCTGCCAATACAGTGACCTGCTGATGACAAAGAGTCACTTGCTTAGCTCAGTGGCTTGAGTGGGCACCACTTAAAGCCCTCAAAACAGACAGGGCCTGCCCAGCCAGTGCTGATGCCAGGTTGTGGGCTCCATCCCCAGGGGTGGCCTGTGGGAGGCAGCGAATTCATGATTCTTTCTCATTGATGTTTCTATCTCTCCCTCTCCCTTCAACTCTGATATCCTATCTAATAATAGACAAACATTGTAATTAACCGTACCTCTGACACGCTTCCCATTGGCTAATCAGGGCAATATGCAAGTTAACTGCCAACCAAGATGGCAGCCGGCAGCCAGGCAGCTGAAGCAAACAGGAGGCTTGCTTGCTCCAGTGATGGAGGAAGCCAAGGTTCCCCGCCTGCCGCTGCCGGCTGCTGAGCTGCACTCTAAGCAACTATGTTGCAAATATAGAAGCTAAACAGGCTCCAGAAACCTGCTTTCAGCCAGCCGGGCTTCAGCCAGCAGGATCGCAACAGTGTTTCAATTATAGAACCCAAAGAAACCCAGATCCCTGCTTACAGCAGCTGAGGTTTCAGAGCTAGAGCCGAGCCTCAGAGCTAAAGCCAGCTCTCAGCTCCAGTGACAGCCATAGAAGGTAAATAAATCCCAGAATAAAAAAGAAAGAAAGAAAAAAAGGAGAGGCTGGGAGCTTCAGTCACCCACCAGCCTGAAAACGGCCCTCAGCCCCTCACCCAGACTGGCCAGGCACCCCAGTGGGGACCCCCACCCTGAAGGGGGTGTGACCAGCTGCAAATAGCCATCATCCCCTCATCCAGGCTGGCCAGGCAACCCATTGGGACCCTCACCATGAAGCAACAAGATGGTGACTAATTTGCATACTGAAGGCGGGTGGCAGCGGGCAAGGCTGTCCGTGGTCCGGGACCCAGATCTGTGACCCTGCTGGGTGGGGTCAGTGCTTGAGGCTGTCGGCAGTCTGGGACCCGTATCCGTGACCTGGCGGGCGGGGGGGAGCGCTTGAGGCTGTCCGCGGTCCCGGGACCCGGACCTGTGACCCTGCCGGGCAGGCAGCAGCGTTTGAGGCTGTCTGCGGTCCCGGGACCTGGATCCGTGACACTTCCCGGTGGGGCGGAAGAACGCATAGGGGCGGATCGGCCGGGGTTGGGCAGGGCAGGACGCCTGGCTTTCGCCCAGCTCCAGTCACTCTGGGCAGGTGAGCAGCGCAGAGAGCCTCTGGACAGGGGAGGCAGGCCAGCGGAGGGTGGCCTGTTCTCCCCACATGGCGGTGGTGACAGCTGTGAGCACGCCAAGCAGAGCCTGAAGGCTGAGCTGAAGTAGTGCCTGCAGGCCATCAGCGCCCAGGAGTGGCTGCGCAAGATCCACCTCCTGGCCCAGAAGGTGCAGGATCACAGGACAGCCACCATGGCGGGCCAGACTGATGTCCTCCTGGCCGCACCACGGGAGTTTGCGGATCTGCAAAGCCAGAGGCCTCCGGTGTGCACAACCCCCCTGGTGTGCGAACACCCCCCAGAACACTGTCACCCACCCGCATCTGCAACAGTTGCAAACCAAGGCATGCACAAGTTCCCCCCCGCCTCTCCACCGCACTTCCATCAACCCGACATGCCTAACAACCCCACAGGATATGCACAATTCCTCTCTGATGCGCTCACGTCCTTTGGAGAGTGTCTGGGTGTTCTGGGTGCTGAGGGTGGGCACCTGTGAGATGACAGTGAGAGGGCGGAATGGTGATGCCCTGTTCCCACAGAGGCCAGTGCAGCTACGAGATCACCTCTGGGGGGTTAATGCAGGTGCTGAGGCAGGAGCAGGTACAGACAGACACCCCTGGTGGGTGCGAGCGGCCCTCGCTGAGGTGCCTTCGGTCAGCATTCAAGATCAAGAACCCAGAGGCGAAGAGGAATTCCGTCCTCTCAGTGATACAGTGAGATAGTCGGGGCGACTGTACAGGAGGAATGTGCACTTTGGGTGCCAGCACCCATGAGTGAAGGCTGCCCTGACTGAGCCTTGCTTGCTTGGGGCCTAGCGCACTCCTGCCGGGCAGCGGGTGACAGGACGTGCTTTTCCGAATTGAGAGAAAACGTTGATTCTCCTGCTGCCCACGAAGGTGGAAAGTGAAGTGGGGAGACATGTGGAGAGTGAGAGAGGTTCCCTGTCTGGGGGTTCCAAATCTGCTGTTGGTTTCTTTCACCGCTGACTAGAGATATACAGGGTGTCCCCCAAAAATGTATACACACTTTGAATACCTACTAATTCCAATGGTTTTAAGCATAAGAAACAAACAACAATGGAGCTGTTATCTGTTAAAAGTGTGGGCACAAACAGACAGTTGGACATTCCCTGAGGGGTCTCAGATTGGAGAGGGTGAAGGCCAGACTGAGGGGCCCCTTTTCCCCCCTACCCCAGTGCACGAATTTCATGCACCGGGCTACTAGTATATATATCCTATCTAATAAAAGAGAAACATGGTAATTAGCCGTACGGCCGCTACCCTTCCCATTGGCTAATCAGGGAGATATGCAAATTAACTGCCAGCCAAGATGGCGGCCATCAGCCAGGCAGCTTGAAGCGGAACATGAGGCTTGCTTGCTTCAGTGATGGAGGAAGCCAAGCTTCCCCGCCTGCCTTGCCGGCCTCTGAGCTACAACTCTAAGAAACACTGTAACAAATATAGAAGCTAAACAAACCCCCAGAAACCTGCTTTAGTCAGCCAGGCTTCAGCCAGCCGGACCGCAACATTGTTTCAAATACAGAAGGTAAACAAAGGCCAGAAACCTGCTTTCAGCAGCGGAGGCCTCATAGCTGGAGCCGAGCCTCAGAGCTAAAGCTGGCCCAGAATTTTAAAAAAAAGGAAAAAAGGACAGGTTGGGAGCTTCAGTCACCCGCCAGCCTGAAAACGGCCCTCAGCCCCTCACCCAGACTGGCCAGGCACCCCAGTGGGGACCCCCACCCTGAAGGGGGTGTGACCAGATGCAAACAGCCATCATCCCCTCATCCAGGCTGGCAAGGCACCCCAGTGGGGACCCCCACCCTGATCCAGGACACCCTTCAGGGCAAACCAGCCAGCCCCCACCCGTGCACCAGGCCTCTATCCTATATAGTAAAAGGGTAATATGCCTCCCAGCACCGGGATCAGCGGAGCCGTGAGGCCTCCCAGCACCGGGATCAGGGTGACAGGGGGCAGCGACAAAACCCCCTGATCGCCCTGCGGCTCTGTGTGTGACAGGGGGCGGGGCCACAACCTCCCTATCCGCCCTGCTCTGTTCGTGACAGGGGAAGGCACCCCAACCCCCGGATCAGCCCCCAACCCCCTGATTGCCCTGCGGCTCTGTGTGTGACAGAGTGTGGCACCCCAACCCCCTGATCCGCCCTGCTCTGTGGGTGACAGAGGGCGGTGCCCCAACTCCCCTATCGGCCCTGTTCTGTGACAGGGGGGAGCGCCTCAACCCCCTGATGGGCCCTGCTCTGTGCGTGACAGGGGGGAGCTCCCCAACCCCCTGATCGGCCCTGCTCTGTGCGTGACAGGGGGCAGCGCCCCAATCCCCTGATTGGCCCTGCTCTGCGCGTGACAGGGGGTGGCACCGCAACCTCCCTATTGACCCTGCCTTGAGTGTGACAGGGGGTGGTGCCCCAAACCCCCAATCGGCCCTACCCTGAGCGTGACTAGGGGTGGCATCGAAACCTCCCAATCCGCCCTGCTCTGTGCATGACAGGGAGTGGCGCCCCAACTCCCCAATCGGCCCTGTTCTGAGCCCGACCAGGGGCTGCACCTAGGGATTGGGCCTGCCCTCTGCCACCCGGGAGCGGGCCTAAGCCAGCAGGTCATTATCTCCTGAGGGGTCCCAGACTGCAAGAGGGCACAGGCCGGGCTGAGGGGCCCCCTCTCCCCCCCAGTGCACAAATTTTTGTGCACCGGGCCTCTAGTATATTTATATTAGAAAATGGATAGGCCTGACTGTTGCTTTTCTCCGAGGTGGAATGTAGATGGATGTCTGTTGAAAAAAGTGTCTCTGCTGGTGTTTATGGTGTGAGTTGAGCTGAGATTTGGGAGTCCATACGGGCTTTCTGAGACAGTTAAACCTGCTGAGGGGCCAGAGAGCTGCCTGGCATCATATCACTTACTTTACAGCCCTGTGCTGTGGGTCACTTTGCTGAAACACCACTCAGAGTCCTCATCACGTCCTAGGTCAGTGGGTCAGCATGTCCTTTACTGGCTGTAGGTCTCCCAGCTGGGCCCTGTGTTGGAGTCTCTTCTGTGCAGCTATGTTTTTGGAAGTGAGCAGTGCATGGGGGGTCTTCATCCTGGGGGAATAAGGGTAAATGTATGGGGACGGGGCCTGCCCAGAGGGTGCCCCGAGGCACAGCCTCACCCCTCCCCTCTTCCTGAACTAGGACCATGGACACCTCCCAGAAGTACCTAGAGGAGCTGCTGGGGGAGAACATGGCCCTTGAGGTTTCACAGGTCCAGAGGATGAACCAACCCAACAACCTGAGCTAGGGGGTGGAGCAGCTGTGAGAAGGTAGGCAGCAGCCCCTGGAGCCTGGGAGCCAGCCTGGCTGCAGCTTCTCCCTCATCCAGGGAGCTGAGCCCTTGGCTCTGATTCTCCTGGGTCAGCCCATCCTCACCCAAGTCAATAGGGTTTTATTCAAGGGCCATTTGGAACTGTTCCATTGCCATTTTCCCCAAGAAGAACATGAATGATCTGGCAGCCTTGAAGTCAAGACATGAACTACAAAGTTAGTGTTGCCAGTTTTCTCAGCTCCCATGTGGACAGTCCCAGGAACTGCCAGATGACAGCACGCTGACCCCCAGAGTATGTCTTAGATCCGTCCGTGGGGGATTGAAAGCTCTGAATGGCAGGAGCCTTCCCCAGTAGTCACTGACCTCCATTGTAATAGTAGCCTGGGCATGATTTCCTCCGTTCCTGTCATAAACGGGCAGATGGGTGGAGTCCGCTCTCTGTCTCCCTGGGCAGGGGTTGCTAACTGTCTGCTTCTCGGGCCTCTCCTTCTCCCTCTCATGTTTGGGACACTCCTAGCACCCAGACAAGGTGTGCAGTTGGCCAGGGGAAGGTGGGTGGAGTGGCAGGTGATGCAACAGGGAGCCTGGGCGCCCAGCAAACAGGAAGCCAGGTCCTGTGCTCCACACCAGCAGGCGTGCACCTGAGAGTGCAGGGAAAAGTGTTCTTAGAGCTCTGCAGAGCACAGGAGGGCCTTGGGCTGGTTTGGGGAGGGGCTGCGTTTTCCAATTCTGACCAACATTCCTAAGCATCATGGAGAGGCTGTTGAAAGCAGCTGGATATTTCTTCTCTTCAAGGGATCCCATCAGCTTCAAACCTAGTCAGTTCATTGAACTGTGAATCTGGGTGAGAAGTTAGTTCTTTCTGTGGTTGGGTGTCCTGGCTATCCAGGGGTGGGCAAAACGGGAATCTCTGCTCTGGGAGTTCAGGGTCATGGGCAGGATACTGCCCCCTGGTGGAGTACATGAGTGGTTTCTGTGGCAGGGACCCTCTCAGACCAAATGTTTGTCATAGACCAGGGTGGCTGGTGGGGTTGGAAAGCCCCCCTGATGTGGACACTCCATGTAGTTTGTGAGCCCTTGTAGGACAGTGCCCGGGACATCTTGGTGTTCCCACGCCTAGTGCTTAGCTGGCAGCCCAGGAACAAAGTGTGAAGGAACTTTTGCGTGGATGGTGTGGTGGACTCTTTAGACTCGGCTTTGAGTCCTCATTCCTCCACCTGCTGTCCAAGCGGCCTCTTTTAAAACTCAGTTTTCTTATCTGCAAAATGGGGGCAATGAAGCTCCCTCACAGGATTGCTGTGCGTGTCTCATGAGAGGAGACAATGAAGCTCTATGCTGGCCTGGCCCACAGGGCGCCAGCATAGGATGGCTGTCCTCCCGCCCTTGTCTATTAAAGACACTCATTCCTCTGGCTCTGGGGGTGCTCATGAGTGTAGCACCCAGGAGAGAACCATTGTTGTTTTCCCATAAATGGTTGTTTCATCACGAGAGCCTGTGGGGTACAGGCCTTTAGGGCAAAGAGACGTCACCAGCTCCGCTGCTGCCCTTGGAAGTCCCTCACCCTTACTTCCCAGGAGTGCAGCGCCTTGGCGTAAGGTATTGAGTCAGGTGGTGGGCAGTGGTGAGTGCAGGTCAGTGGGAATGTATCAAATGCCACAGAAATGTACGCTGGAAAATGGTTAAAATGGTGAACTCTGTGTTGTATATACACTGAGTGGCCAGATTATTATGACCACCTCATCAGTACTTCATTGACACTTCCAAAAATACTGAGTATTGAAAACTTCCTAAGCAAATACTCTTAAGGTTTTATTATTATTACTAGTATCCCGGTGCCCCAAAATTTGTGCACTCGGGGGTGGGGAGTTAGGGGTGGGGCCAGACCCCTCAGCCTGACCTGCACTCTCTGTCATGTTCCGGGACCCCGGCCACTCCTGGCCTAGGCACAGGCCTACAGGCTTGGGGCGGCCTGGCTCCCGAGGCCCCATTTTATCAAGAGAACAAAGTCGGCG